TAAACAACGTGGCGGATATCCACGTGGCGTACGTAATTTCAAATTGTTTCCCAGGAAAGAAATTTTTACTGGAAGAGGATGGATAGAGAGAGAGAGAGAGAGAGATCGAAATTTCGAAGTCGTAAAGTCAAGTTTTCTACTTGGGAAGAGCAGGTAGGGAGGCGATTTTCGACCGGCCGATCCCTGAAAAACCCCATCGTGCATCTCGTCCTAATCCTGTTTGCCGGATGAGCCGGCCGTTGTTTGATTATTTTAGAACTTTTCCAAGGTACGCGAGACCATTTTGTCGAAAGCATCGGATAACTCTGTCCCACCGTAAATCCTCTTTCCTCGTTCTTTTATACCGGCCTAATCCGAAAACATTGCGAGCGATCATGGCTTTTTTTTTTCCTTTTCCTTTTCCCTTTTCTTTTTTTTTTTTTTTTTTTTTTTTTGCCTTTACTTTTTTCACCTTGAAATTGAAATGTGAAGTAACGGCGAATTGTATTAATTCGTACGACGTTATTATATTTCTAAATGGCATTATTATTCAAAAGTGGTATCGATTGTTTTCCGCAGAAGACGCATTTAGATGCGTCGCATTGTAAATTGTGCTAATATATCTATGCGGATAGCCTTGACTTCTTAATTGGAAATATATCTTTGTTAAAGTATACGCGAGCGCGAGTGTGAGTGTGAAATTCTGATGCAAAGAGCGAGAGTTGGACGTATTTTATTCGAAACAAAATAATAAAGATAATCGATTGAACTTTTTAAAAATTAGAAATCCATTGAAATAGTTAAAAATTAATCAATTGTTGCAATTATTAATTACACCAAATCCTATGAATTATATTCTATTATAAAAAAAAAAAAAAAAATTGTGTTATTTATTCATAAAAATGTTCCATGATTTGGTTAACTTTTTTTAATTTAACAAAAAACATTGTGTGTAAATTGTGCATAATAGAATTCTGCGACATTTTTAAATTAATCAAGATGAAAATATCACGAATTATTATACGGTTATTTCAGTCGTATCGATAAAATTCGTTATATTCAATTATTCATTAATAAATTCATTATTGATGTGTTTAATAAATCAACCAAGTCAAATTAAAAATTCGCTACATTGTATCAATCTTTAATTCATATAATCGTAATTTACATATAGATATTTTTACTTTATATACGTAGATATAATTTCTTTTTTTTTTTACTATGCTAATAAATTTATTTCATGAATAATAATATAGCAACAATAACTTATCGAATATATCATGACGACTATATTTAAACGTGTATTTCTAATTCGATTAATTCTATTAACTAATGAATCATAAAATTTAATTTTCATTTTTTTTTTTATACTGACTTGTCTCATCTAACGTTTCAAAATAAATATACCTTTAAGAAAAATAAATTCTAGATCCTCCTAGAAAACGCATAAAACTTCCTAAAAGTCTTTATAACTTAAAAATTAAAGAAAACGCTTAAAATATTTTAATATATTCTTTCAAAAACAAATGATAAATAGATATATATATATAAATAATATAATACAGAATTAAAATACGTTACAAATTTTCGCATAATATATATATATATCATCATAAACGAAAAATTTCCATTAATTTGTATTAGATAGAATACCAAACATTTTTGAATTTACTTAACAATTATTGGAAAACACGTCACGTTTCCCGAGAAATGCAAAGCCCTTTACCTCTCGCAAACGTATATATACGCGAATCAGGGGAAGGAGAATCGAAGAAGAGGACGAGGCGGAGTAAGTTAGTCACCTGCGCAAAGTCCGGTGCCGGTTGTTGCTGGTGCCTAACTCGACAAAGAGCCAGGTATTTAAGATTCCATTGTACCTTTTAAACGGCTGGCATTATCTCGTTAAACTGAAGGCGTGGCGCGAATTTTGGGAGACTGCTGGATTAAAGGATCGCCGGTGTCGGCCATTTCTATTGAAAATTCGCGTAAAAAAAAATTGTCAAAAGTCCAAAAGCAATGTTCTTTCGACGACCGAAAAAAGAAGGAAAAAAAAAAAAAAAAAAAATTATTCGAAATCCATTCAAGAAAATCATCTTTCTCCTCGTGAAGAACGAATCTCCTTCTATTCAAAGTGAAAATTATTACATTAAAACTTCTCGAAAACTCCTGAGAGATCCTCCCTGTGACAGAGGATTATTCTTCCTCGATGAATTTGATAGGGAAAGTTTACGCTCGAAACCGATTTCGCGTCCCAAAAGTGTTTTCGATCGTTCGAAAAACGAAACCATCCCGTCCTCGAGAGCTCTATTTCTTCTCTGAAATCCCTGTCAACGCCGCGCTTCGAGAAAAGCGGGAGAAAAGAGAGAGGGGGGTAGAGAGTCGATTTCGAAACGACCGCTTTGCTCCCAGGACAGCGTCGAAACGAGCGTGATCGGCGAGCGAGAGAGTGCAGCCGCAGCTAGGGGAGCCGCTCGACCATGAAACGCCAAACTAAACGGCGCTTCGAGGCCCAAATATGAGATCCGACTCCCCTCGTCCACGCACACTATACCCTTGTGTACCCTCCTTTCGAATCGTATTTTTACGTTTACACACGCACAGGCGTGCGACCATACACGAACCGTGGAGGAAACGCGTGTATTTATTCCTGTGTGACGCGAGGAAAGCGCAAAAAGGGCATAATAATGGACCCCGCAGCCAGATAGGTGTATATAATGAGGTTAGCGGGGAGGGGAGTGGAGTAGGGGAGGTTGAGGGGAGGGAGGAAGCGGGGTGGTTGTGTCGCTGATACGGTTGTGCGACAGAGAGGGGGCGAGGCAGGGCAGAGGTGGAGGGGGGCCGTTTCCCCCTCGTCCAGGACGCATCTGCCCCATTATGCTGCCCCGGGGCACTCCCCGAGACCATTAATCCTCGCTAAACGACAGCCATTTTGTACCTAAACTGGATTGCCGACTCACTAACTGGTTTTGAGGACGCTTAATAGACTACTCGCCGCTCCTATTATGGCGATCGCGCATCCGCGCTATATTTCGGTGTCGTTTATTCCCCCGCTAATGTGCAAACGGCTTTGGAAACCGTACAGAGACGAGACGAGGAGAGAGAGAGAGAGAGAGAGAGAGAGAAAGCGCGGCTAACTCCTCCTTCGCTCGGGGAGGGAAAGGGAGGGAGGGATCCTCGTTTCGCTCGTTCCTCGATAGGGAAACGGGGGCGCCTCGGTCGAGGGATAATAACTGTGACGTTGGTAATTGGAAAAAAAATTCCTCCTCCCTGAGAACGACGTCGTCGTATCGGGGTGGTTGGAATTAACGTTTCGCGGCCCAAATGTCTAAAAGTTGAGAGGCGTCGAGAGGAAAAAATCGGAGGAAGGAATGGAGGAAGGAAGATTCTTCCGAGGGAAGATTTTGTTCTTCCTCCATTTGTGGTGGCCACGAAACGGCACCCCGCAGACTTGCTGTCGCGCGGTTGTAACAAGATTTCGGTTAATCGGCTTGACTCGGTGACGGGAAGATTCCGCTTTCCTCCTCCTGCTTCCACGGAAACGGTGTTCCCACGGGACATTTCGGCCGGCTTTCGGCTGTCACTCTGGACTATCACCATCAACCTGCCGATAGGATTAGTTTAATCCTAAAATATTGTCCGCTGGGTACATAACAAGATCGCGAAAATTTCCAGCAACTTGGGGAAAAGCACGGTCAGCTACGTACGTACAGAGAATTTCTCTACAGAATTTCCTCTAATGCCTCCTTTGATGAGAAGATTCACCCGGGGGAGAAGGAATTTGCAATTAATTTTTGCATTCCGTGCCATCATTAGGGTGGCCTTTTGATGTAAGCCTCGGCCACGGATTTTCAATCCTTTGATAACGAAGTAATGAAGTCGGTTTTTGCGCCGATACCGAACACCGAAACTTCAATCCAAAGGGAATAAAACAAGGGGAAAAAAGGGAGTACCTTATCTCCCACCCTGCGATACATTTAACGGTACCCTCTAACGGACCCGCTGCTACACTCGGCCCGTCATTTCCTGTCTCCGCCGGGTTTCAAATCCACAACAACCACGTCAAAAACCTGCCAATCAAACTTCCAATTTCCATCAATCACCGGCCGCCCGATACCACCACCACCACCACCTATCACAACGCGCACCCCACCCCTTTCTCTCTCAGTGCACGCGATACTTTCGAGGGATTTTTCGCGAAAAATTTTTTTCCAATGAGAGAAAAGAAGAAAAACTCGTTGCAACAATCCGATCCGAGGTATACCCGCAACTCGTCATTATCTCGTCGACGACGACGAGAACGAGGAGGAGGGACGTAGGAGGGTGGACGATGAAACGTACACGCTCGCGCGCTCACGCACACAGGAACCGGCGGCGGACGCGGCACAGAGGATTGCCAATCAATTCGCGCATCGCGCCCGGGAATTAGACAATTAGGAGTCGTCACGTTCCCCGAGCAGTCGCCTCATCATCCCAGACCCCGCGTCGTTCCGCTCCAGCCCCTCCGCTTCCCCCACGCGGCGCCCCACCCCCATTTTCATCCCCGCTACGCGCTCGTTAACGAGTCACCACCAGGCGCTCCAGATCCAGCCAGCGCCATCTGGCGGTGGACGGGGAACGCGGCGGGACGAGGCGAGGCCCGGTTTCCCGAGGCGAGGGAACGGAGGCGAGCGGCGATTGGCCGAGACGGGCGGCCGGGCCACGCCCACCGGGCAGGGGTCCGGGTTAGGGACGTGGTGTGACTCGGGTGGCCCGCATTGGCCGAGGACAGGACACGGTACCGGTTCCACGGGTCTCGCGGGGGCGGCGCGCCACGGCGGCAAGCACCGCGACGCCGGCCGCCACCGAGAAAGAAGAGAGAGAACGCCTCGGCAGGCCTGGCCGAAGCCGAGCTGGTAATCAGTGTCGTTTCCGCGCCAGCACCGGCCACCACGCGGCAGATTACGCAGATTACGTACGCTCTGCGCACCCCCCGCGCGTACCCCGTGACAGTGCGACGGCGAAGGCCCTGCGTACCCCGAGCCGTTGTTATTCGATCACCATATTCGTGCCCACCAATTTTCAACTTAACGTTCGGATACTTGGTGCTTCGACAGACTTGACAGGAAAGAAGAAGAAGGGACGACGACTTTGATCGGCATATATATATACATATAAAACGGCGATCGAACACATATATATATATAACGTGGAGGAAAAGGCGTGGATGTAATAATGCTTAACAGGAGTCGAAGTCGAATCGTCATGCCGATCTCGTAGAGAAACTGTTCCCGACTTAAATGGGGGGATCCGCTCGTGCCGGCTCGGTCGGTCCACGGCGATGCGGCGGATTCCGGGAATAACGGGCCCGGGAGTAGTCGTTCGGAATGCCAACCCGTGAACCAGCGATGATACCATAGTGGCGAGGGACCGCTGATCACCGAGTCGGGACGACGACGCTGTTGCGATGACGCGGTTACCCGTTGGCTCCGAGTTTCGCATCGATGTGGAGGGATAAGAGACGACGACGACGTTGTAGTTTCGTAGTACTTGTCGACGGACGAGGTGCTGGTTGGCGCGCAGTGACAGTGAGAATCGCGATTGAGTGAGCCGATCGAGTGAGAACACCTATATATATATATATATATATATTCTCCAATTCTCCTGAGACGTACACTCGTCGTGAATCGAGGGGGAGAGTGAAGAAAAAAGAGGAAAAGAGAGGGGAAGGGGAAAAGTGGAATATAATCGTCGGAATGAGCGGCAGCGAGGGCGTGGTGACGGGTCAGGGGACCGGTAACGATCGTCTCTGCGAGGACGTCGATATGGCAACTTCGACGTCCGCTTCCTCCAATTTGAAGCCGCGTAGCGGCAAGATCAGTTTCAGCGTCGACTCCCTTCTGAGCGACATGAAGAAGACGGGCGGCGCTTTCGCGAGGCGAGAGAACGAGGATCGGATGGAGGCCGAGAAGGGCCTCGACGTGGAGGCGAGGTATCGCGAGTTGCTGTTGGAGCAGCAGAGGCTCCAGAGCAGAGAGCTGTTGGCGAGGCTGAGCCCGCACGGGCTCGCGTTCGCGAACCACCATCACCACCACCACCACCACCACCACCATCATCATCAACCGTCGAGCAGGCCGGATCAGGATCAGCATCCGTCGGCAGGCCGCCAAGAGATCCTCACCGTGAAGGATTTCTCGAGGACTACGGGCAGCCACGACAAGTCCTCGTCCCCTATTAGAATAGATCAGGAGGCCCAGAGGGAACGGGACGATCATCGGCGATCGTCCTCGAGCCCGGCCGGGAGCAGGATCGTCGTCGAGTCGTCGATGATCCAGAGGGAGCGCGGCCAGGAGGAGGACGAGAGGATGGAGAGGATCGGCGACCCCCGTTCCGTCTCCCCCGCGAGTAGACGGGAGATGATGGGAGACGACAGGAGCGACTCGGAGGCGAATCGTTCGTTGGAAGGGGACAGGGCCGATCACCTGGATCTCGAGGATCAAAGCGAGATAAGGAGCGTGGCCCACTCGGAGGATTTGAACGTGATGGACTCGGACTGCGAGCTGGAGAGGGAGGTGGACAACAGCCAGGAGAAGGAGGAGAAGTCGAGCCCCGTAGTGCCTCAACCGATTCATCCAGGGGTTCAGAGGCCGTCTCAGGGGCCCCCTTACCTCCCCGGTGCCCCGGGCGCCCCCGGATGGAATCCCGCGGGATTCCCGCATTCCCTCGCGGGATTCGCGTGGCTACCCCCACCCCCGCACCCGCACAATCCGCATGGACATCTGTACACGCCTCACGGGGGGCCCACTAGTCCGAACGGTAAGTCCTCTGTATATCCCTTTCTTTCTCGCGTAGAGAGAAAGAGGGAGAGGGAGAGCAAAACCGAGACGAGAATCTCTCTCTTTCTCTCGAACCTTCCTTTCCTCCAAAGAGAGAGAGAGAGAGAGAGAGAGAGAGAGGAAAAGGAAATGAGGGATTCGCGTGAAACGGTTTGGTTGAGATTCGGCCAAAACCGTGGAATCGATTCGCGATGGGTGGCGCGCGCAACCCATTATTATTCTCGGGCAATCAAAGCGAGATCGGAATATTAGCCGTAGGGTAATGCAATACGCTTACTTATCAACTCGATTTGCTCGGCTAACTCGCCTACGAATCGTTATTCTAGCTTCTTTTTCGAGCCGCGGATTTCGAAGCGGTTTGCTCACAATGTTGATGATTAGGAGGAGGGTGTGGGAGGCGGGTGGCGCAGGCCACGACACTCGTGGCACGCAGCCCCATAACGCTCGATATTAGTGTCGCCGGTCACGCGAGTACCCGGTTATTATCGGAATTACGTGCTAAAGCGTTCGCCGTTGGCCACGTAATTGAACTCTCTGGGAACGTTTGCCGCTCCTGGAAACGTTTCTCCATCCTTTTCCAGGGAAGAGCTGCGGCACACGTTTTCCCTCGAGTTGTTTGTTGCGATAGGAGTTGAGCTATTGGTTTTTAACGAGTTTAAATGTGGATAGAGCAACGTCGACGAAATGAAGGGAGAGCTTCTAGAGTTTCTAGAGTAGATCGAATTCTAACCTCGTCTCCATTCTCTCTTTATGAGAATTGTCCGAGGCAATGTTCGACAACGAAATGACGAAAAAAAAAGGTGGCGATAAGAGGAGAGAGACGATGAAGATATAGATAACGAACTTTCTCTCGAGAAGGGGAAAGAATATCTGCATATCGTGATAGTACGAAAGTAATGGAGGATAAAAGAAAGTAAAGGAATTAAGGGGATGACAGAAGAAACTGGAAATAAATAACAGGAGGAACAATCTTACGAGGAGACCACGATTCTCCTACATAATTGAAAAAATTCGTTCCTGAGTCGAAGATCGGAAGCTGCTTTCTGCGCCATAAGAATCTCGTGGAATAGTGTCACGTCAGTTTCTTTTGTTTCTCGACTTCTGCGATGTCGCAAAGAAATCGATCAGACGTTCGTTCGAGTATCTAGGCCATTAGGACGCGCGCGATCCTTCGTTTCCTGGCGAAGCGATCGCTTTCAATCCTCCTCGTCGAGGATCGAAAAATCGAAATTTCACGAAAGCTAGACGAACATTGGAAAGTATAGCAACGATTTTCACGAAATCGATTCGCTCGAGGAAAAAATTTTGGATCGGATTTTATCGGAGTAAATCACGGTTTGTCGGGAATTATTTTCGCTTCCTGTCGCGGCGGGGGCACGTCAATAATCGGCGCGAAATAATCGATCAATTAAACGAACCCGTTTCGAGTCCAATCGTTCCACCACTCGAGGAAAGGCATTGTCGCGGTGCAACCCCACCTCCCTTCGCCCCCCTTGCCTCTCTTAATTGACGATTTTTCCTTGACGATGACAGCCTCGCGTCAACTCTTTGAAAGACACGCGCTCCTCCACATCCAATTAACTGCCTTACCCTCTCCTGAGTCAACGGAAAAAGACATCGAGCAAGATTTCCACGCTTGCTAAACCCGATTGAAAAATTTTTACTCTTCGACCTCGTGACTTAATCTTTCTTCTGATTGCTGGCTATCAAGAACTCAATTTAACTTAATTTAATTTGCATCTAATTTTGATTCGCAAAAGATTATTAGTCATGTCTTCCTCTTTTTATACTATTTGCTGCCAATTAAAAATTTATTGAATATTCTATAGCGAGGAATTATTGATTGAACTATAGTTACAAAAGTCTTTACATATTTTACTGACAATTTTCATCGAAATAACAATTCCATTTTGTATGAAACGAATTATGAATACGTAGATCATAATAAGAAAAATTTTTTTCAAGTTACATTCCTCATTGTTGTTAATCCAAACGCTGAAAGTTCAACGAAAGAAGGTTCCAATCAAAGGGGAGTTTCCAGAAATTACTATTGGCTAATGAGCCAACTAGCGCCGTTTCCGAGAGAGAAAGAGAGAAATCTCCATTAAAGGCTCGTAAAAAAAAAAGAAAAAAAAAAGTCTGGAGGAAGAGAAGACACGGAACAGAAGTTCCCCTCCGTGGTGTCGTTACCAACGTGTATCCCGACGCTGGGGGAGCCAAGGGGGTGGAGGCGCACTCGATGGCACTCGAAGGCTCCAACCATGATAGAGTCATACATAACTCCGGCCATCCATAATGCATTCAACTCGGTCTAAAAACTGCCCTTGTTAGGCCGGGCCCGGCTTCCTGGCCGACCTCTCTCATCCAACCTCAACCGTCCGTTTTTGCGGATGATAACGACAAACCACGCTAGATCTCTCCCTTCTTTATCGGCACGACTATTTCGCCCTTCCGTTTCTCCTCCCCGCCATCCTTCTTTTTGCCGTCCCTGCAGCGCGAGACCAATTACCCGCGCGTCCTCCCAAGATCTCTCGAGCCGGTGGCAGCTCAGATTCAGAATTTCATCGATCGCCCAGTTTCTTTCCACCGGTCTCTCTGTAGTTGATTAGAAGACAACCTTCCTCGAGAGTGTTCCTTTTTTATCGATCGAGCTCGACGTGGGTGACGACGTAAACGTTACTGGAGAATCACGCTTCTCTCTCGAGAGAGAGATTAAATAAAACTCGAAACTTGATAGATAGATAGATAGTCGGATGATGATGATGATGATGATGATGATGATGAAGTAAAAGGCTTGAATATTATCGACCGTTCGTTCAACTTTCCCATCCTGCGGTATTGCGTCATCGCAACGTGAACTTTCGAGAGCGGCGGGCATCGAGCATTCGCTCCTCCCTCCCGATGTTTCTCGCACGAGCAAATTTCTCGACTAAATTCGTCGTCGAACAATGGAAACGAACGAATGGCGTGGAAAAATCCAAAAGCGGAATGCTTTTGAACTCAGGTTTTAGAGTCTTTCGCTTCGATTCTAATCGCCGGCTTTCATTAGAATTATTTCACGTTCCTTCCTTCTCCTTTCCCCGATAAAGAAGATTCGTATTCCTTCGAATAAGATTATCCATCGAATGATCGAATCACTTTCGCGAGAAAAATTAGTGGATTCGATGGAAAAGCTCGTCATAGGGGGGCGGGGGATAGGGTGGTTATCAGAAATGGGCGGGGACCTTGATACCGGCCTCGTCCAACCGATAGATAATCCCTGTAGGCCTGTCACTGGGCGGTGGCGTTTCGAAAATTATGAATACGGACGTCATTTATAACGCTCGAACGCCACCGTCGGCCCGCCACGCATTTATCTGCTGCTGGCCTCCGTGTCCAGGAATGAATTAACGACGCCCGTCCCCGATGATGTTCCACAAAATATTTCGAACGATTCATCATCCACGCCGAGGGTAATTATCGTCCAACGGGGCGGCGTTTCGTTTGGGGAGGAGGGGGAGAAGGGGAGAGATGCCGCGGTTTTTCCGGAAGCCGAGAAAATCCTGTTTGAAATGTTAATTGCCGTGAAACGAGGCCGTTTATTCGACGATTAACAAGGGATACTTGATCCAGTTTTCGCATGGTCGTTTTGGTCGAGGTAAAATCGAGATATAATAGAAAAAATTTTGGTTAAATTATATTATCTGTAAGAATGTAAGGTTCTTTTTTTTTTTTTTTGCATTTAATGGAACATTGTAAAAATATTTTTAATTTTTAGTTACAATTAGACGCATTATTTAATCAATAAAGGGTTAATTATAGCTTAAATAAAAAGTAATTCTTTTCATCGTGGAATCAATTAAATATCGGATGGAAAGAAGAATAGAAGAATTTTTATTTACTCGAACCTTATAAATTAAACGCGTGTTGATGCAAGTTTACGTTAATATCTTTCAATTTGTCGCTTGTACTTGCCCATGAATTGTTCCAATACTTGAGACATTATATTCGAACGAAAGATATAATTGCATAAAAAATGCAAGAATTTGTAAAGCTGGAATATTGCTTGAATATAAAACCCTAATTCAATCGTAACTTTCGATAAAGTACCTCGAATAAGGCATCGAGTACGATTGTTCGAAACTTAAAAAGAAAGAAAAGAAGAAAGAAAAATATTATTTTCAAGATTATTCGCAAGGAATTCACGTTCACGTTAAAATTCTGCAAGAAAACTGCAGAAAAGCGCAGAATTGGAAGCGTAATGAATCACCTTCGTTTTTGTACAATTCGGCGGCCAATGGCGGACAACGCGTTGAGTTAGATATACCGATGGTAGATAAAGTAAACTCGGGCGGACGAGGTTAGATAAATGGCGCACACCTGTTCCAAAGGATTTTTTCCCCCATTTCAGGCCACTTTCAGATTCATGGAGAATTTGAGGGAAACGCTATTCAATGCGGCAATGAATTAGCATTTAGCATTTCAGCCTCCCATGGGATTATTATTCGGTTAAACTAAATAAACCGCATCGAGACATCTGTCCCCTCCAATTTTCGATCGAATTCTCGTTCTGATAATGAAACAACTTGCCCCCCCCCCCTTTATTAACACGACCGTCGTTGAAATTCCAACCGAAATTGTGCAAATCGTGTTTCGATAATCGGACAACACGCATACAACAGGCGGAAGTATCGTTTATCTTTATCCCTCGAGTCGGTACCCCATTCATACCGATTTTTATCGCCGATTATCGAACGAGCATCGATCGTTATTAACGCGTTAATTGGCGCATATAATGCCGGGAATAGGCAACGCGAATATTTCGACAACGAAGGAGAGGAACAATGCGATCTTACTCGTTAACGTCTCTCGCTTATGGTAATTAACGGAAATTAATTAGCCAGGGCAAGAAGAATATATTGATCTGGGAGTGAAATCGCAGTGACGAGGATTTCTCATCCCGGGATCGGGATTTTTATCGCCCGTTTTCCTTGAGAGAGG